CTTCCTTTCCAGTCCCCCGAGTGCCCAGCTTCCTAACTGGCCAACACGAACTATACAGAAGGAGATTTAAGGGATAACATGGACCACAGCAACTTTCTTTTCAAGAAGATTCTGCATGGAAAGCTGCTCTTCCAAGACTTTGTTTTGTTTTGCTTGTTTGTTGGTTTGTTTGTTTTAGAGACAGGGTCTTGCTATATTGCCCAGGCTGGTCTCAAACTCCTGGGCTCAAGCAATCCTCCTGCCTCAGCCACCTGAGTAGCTGGGAAGCTGGGACTAGGGGCACATGCCACCATGCCCAGCCTTTCTTTCAAGTCTTAAGCACTAGGACTACTGGTACCATCCGAACTCCTTGGTCAAAATCAACCTGCTGAAACCAAAGACTGAAGATCCGAGAATCTGCCAACTTTTTTTTGAGATGGAGTCTCACTCTGTGTCGTAGGCTAGAGTGCAGTGGTGCGACCTCAGTTCACTGCAACCTCTGCCTCCTGGGTTTAAGCGATTCTCCTGCCACAGCCCCCCAGGTAACTGGGATTACACCTGGCTAATTACACCTGCACCTGGCTAATTTTTTTATTTTTAGAAGAGACGGGGTTTCACCATGTTGGCCAAGCTGGTCTCGAACTCCTGACCTCAAGTGTTCCACCTGCCTTGGCTTCCCAAGGTGCTGGGATTACAGACGTGAGCCACCGCACCCAGCCTGTCATCATTATTCATTTGTCACTTACTTAGTCTCACTCAACAGATAATGAATTGAGCACCTACTATGTGCCAGGCATTGTGCTGGGCTCTGGGGACATAATAAAAAAGAGACATGGCATGTACAAATGCACAGAAAATACTCTGGGAGGCTACACAACTGACTGCCTCTGGGAAGCAGAGGGGGGCTTAGGGGTTAGGTTGAAGGGGACTTTTCTTTTATTTGTATATTCTCTGCTGTTTGAATTTGTAACTTCTCACTTGTGCAAACAGCAGGAACAAAACAGGCATTTTAAAATATTTTATTTATTTATTTATTATTTGAGACAGGGTCTCGCTCTGTTGCCCAGGATGGAAATGCAGTGGCATGATCTCAGCTCACTGCAATCTCCACTTCCTGGGTTCAAGAGATTCTTGTACCTCAGCCTCCTGAGGCTGGATTACAGGTGTGCACCACCAGGCCTGGCTAATTTTTGTATTTTTAGTAGAGATGAGGTTTTGCCATGTTGCCTAGGCTGGTTTTGAACTTCTGGCCTCCTTGGCTTCCCAAAGTGCTGGAATTACAGGCAAGAGCCACCAAGCCCTGCCAAGGTATTTTTTTTTTTTAATTCAAAATTTGGGCCTCTTAGTAGGGAATCCAACAGTCCTAATTCTTTGCTGACATCAGAAAAAGGGAATCAGCCTCTTGCCCATCTAATGCTGCAGTGGCATTCATGGTTCTCAGCTTTCACTTTCCGTGCCCAAAGCAGCACAGCATCACTACAGCCCAGGGAGGCAGGACCTTAGGGTTCAGGTTCTCCCTCTCTGCCCACCTACCCCCTCCACGAGGTGGATGAAGAATGGAAACAGGGACACGTTTTTCAAAGGTATTTCATGAACGTCTCCAGCCGCGAGCTTTAGCTGTGAGTTAGCATCTGAGAACATTCTTCATGAACCAAGTTTGAAGGAACACATCCCAAGGGCGGGGCAGTGGCTCACAAGGGTTGATGGACTTGATGTTTTAAAAATAGTTTTAAATTGCACAATTACTACTTGCTGTTTGTAAAAGAAAAAAAATCCTATGTATAAAAAATATATCCCACTGCTGCCTCAAATTCCTGGACTTATGCAATCCTCTCTCCTCAGCCTCCCAAAGTGCTGGGATTACAGGCATGAGCCATAGCACCTGACCTCAATTCCTACAGCTTTCTGATACAGTTCCCTGCTCATCATGCTTCGCTGTTTGAGACATGCTTATCACTGTCCTTGGGCTGGTGTAGCCCCTTTCCCCACCTAAGCTACGCTTCCTTTTTCCAAATATGGAAAAAATGTGTGTGTGTGTGTGTGTGTGTGTGTGTGTGTGTGTGTGTGTGTGTGTGTTCAAGGCCTCGATCAAATCCTGGGTCCACTCTGAAGCTTCCCTGGTGATTGTAACCCCATCCTGACTTCTGGGCCATCAGTTCACTTCCAGACATTGGTCATTTACAGTACTGGCCTCTGGCATGGCGTATCTTTCCAATAAGCCTGGAGGCAAATTTGAAGCAGGCACCTGGCCTTGTCTCGTGCAGATAACCATGCTTAGCATGAAGTTCACGCACTCAGTAACATAGTAGGTACTTACTAAGTGTTGCTTTCTCTCCTTCCGTCTCACCTGTGCTGAAGGCAGCATAATTATTTTAGGCTGATGCCGCAGGGCTACACTGACTTGCATTCTGTAAATTTATGGCTAGACACCAATGGTGATGTTTAGGGGTTACACGAGCTGGTTTCATAAACTCAATTCAGTGTATTTATCCATTGAGTTGATTGATGACTCTAATTCCATATTCTATGAAAATATATGCTACACAACAGTGCAGAACTCCTACTGTGTTTGTGCCCTCATGAGATAGAAGGGGAATGGACCTGGCATGGTGGCTCATGCCTGTAATCCTAGCACTTTGGGAGGCCAAGGTGGGAGGATGGCTTGAGGCCAGCCTGGGCAATGTAGCAAGACCCTGTCTCTAAAATAAATAAAAATAAAAAATTAGCCAGATGTGGTGGTGCGTACCTGTAGTCCCAGCTAGAGGCTGTGGTGGGCAGATCGCTTGAGCTCAGGAGGTTGGGGCTGCAGTGAGCTATGATGGCGTGGTGGCAGAGTGAAACCCGGTTTCTTAAAAAAAAAAAAAAAAGCAAAAGGTCTGAAGTCACTGATTTGGGTCCTTGTGACTGTCAGCTGACATAGACTGGGGTCCATGTGTTTGTGACTCATCTCTTTCATGCAGTCAGATGTATCTGTTAAGGGCCAAGGAAGAGGCAGAGAGTATTTCTAGACTCAGTAATCAGAGAATTTAAGAAAGGTTCAGTGGCAAAGGCGTGGGCAGGGTTTTGGAAACCAGCGAGAATGAATGCAGTACCCCAGGCTTGGCCATAGAGAGGGGCTGTTATCATCCTGGCCTGGTGCCAGAGAAAGGAATGGTACCTGGAGTCCCTAGGAGGGTGTCACTGTACCAGAGTCCAGGCAGGGCTGTGGCCAACCTCTGACTAGGGGGAGGGGAGCTGGGAACAGACACCCAATCTTACTTTCCCATGAGTGCCTCCTGTTGGTCAAACCCAGAAGGAAGCCAGAAGTCAAGGGTACCAGCTGGTACAGTTCATGCAAGTCAACGTCTCAGACTTTTTCAAACCCAGAAGTCATAAAGTGCTCTTCCTCCCACTTTCTCTCCTATATCACTTGGTGTGTATTACTCACGTGGTCATTCTTATGCCACCTGCTTCAGAGTCACGTGTGAAATGTTCTTATCTCCCCCGCTAATTTATAGCTATAAAATCTACCGTTTTAAGGCTGGGCACAGTGGCTAACGCCTGTAATCCCAGCACTTTGAGAGCACAAGTGGATCACCTGCAGTCAGGAGTTCGAGACCAGTCTGGTCAACATGGTGAAGCCCAGTCTCTGCTAAAAATACAAAAATTAGCCAGGCATGGTGGTGTGTACCTGTAGTCTCAACTACTTGGGAGGCTGAGGCAGGAGAGTCGCTTGAACCCAGGAGGTGGAGGTTGCAGTGAGCTGAGATCACACCACTGCACTCCAGCCTGGGCAACAGAACAAGACCTTGCCTCAAAAACAAATAAACAAAAAAACAGCTACCCTTTTAAGGTGTACAAGTCAGTGATGATGTGTATATTCATAGAGTTGTGCAGCCATCTTCACAGTCAACTTTGGAATATTTTTGTTTCCCTAAAAGAAACCCTGTGCCCATGAGCAGTCACTTCCCTATTCCTTCCATCCGCCCCAGCCCTAGGCAACTCCAATTCTCCTTTCTGTCCCAGAAGATCTGCCTATTGTGGACATTTCATAAAAACGGAATCACACAATATGTGTCCTTTTGTCTCTGGCTTGACTTAGCATGATGTCTTCAAGTATCAATACTTCATTCCTTTTTTTATGGCTGAATAATAGTCCATTGTATGGATAGACCACATTTTGTTTATTCATTGGTTGATGGATATTTGGGTTGTTTCCATATTTTGCTATTATGGGTAATTCTGCCATAAGTATTTGTGCACACATGTTGTGCCTTCTGTTTCAGATGCTCTTGGATATGGGCTGGTTTTTCTGCCCTGCCTGGGATGCCTCATTTTCTTATCCTGGTTAGTTTCCTGGCACTCTTCAGTAGCAGCAGCCTGCCGCTCTTGCTAAGGAGTCTTCTCTGTCACCCTTACGAGCTGCCTGCCCTGGGCTTCCATAGATCACGTTTTCCCGGATTGCATATGCTCTTTACATGGGACTATCATTATCCGTTTCTTCCCATCTCCCTGTTGGCTCTGAGCCCCTCAAGGGCAAGAATTACATCACTGAATCTGTAGCCTCTAGTGTGGCACTTGGCATATTTGGGAATGAATGAATGAACGAACAAATGAAAGAGAACAGAGACTGCCCTACAACTCTCTTTTGAATCTGGGTCTATGAAATGAATAGAGGAAGATCCTGTCCTGAATTTAGAGAAGCAAAAAGGTCGTGTGGCTCTAGATTCTTCTTTTTAAAAAAAATCTCCAAAGATGCCTATGTAAATATCTAGGTCTAAAAGCAGAGAGGGGAGTGTGTGTGCGTGCACAAATGTCTATTTGGGGAAGGCTGCTACATAGACAGAGACTCTGGTAAGGGGAGGAGTGCCAGGATTAGCTTTTGAGGCATCCTTCCTCCAAAACCAGAGCTTTGCATCCAGCCGCTCTCCCCTCCCCCACCCTCCCGACATCCGGGGCTGACTGTGCAGAGGTCCACTGCACTGACGTCACCCCTTAGCAGCTGTCCGCACTGACCAAAATGCCAATCTTTATTTCTGCAGGTTGGTGAAAACCCTGTGTCCTTGGAGAAAGCTGGTTCCCGTTTTCCAGAGGGGAAGCCCAGAGCTTGAAAGGCCGCGGTTGGCACTTCGAGAAGGAAGTGGAGAGTAAAGACAGCGCGTGGAGCGATCGTGGAAACACAGAATGGGACTGGGGAAGCCCTTTGGAAATCCAGCTGCAGAAACAGACACCCCAATGCTATTTACATACAGCTCTCTCTATATATATATAAAAAGAAAATATGAATATTACGTATCAGTGCATGCCTTGTTGAGGACGTGGTCGCCTTCCTTTTCTGCACCTTGCAAAGTGAACTTTGATATTCTGTAATGTCTGGGGCGCCAGAAGAGAGATGCCTGCTGTGTACTTAGAAACTATTTGCAAAGACTGGTGGGAATTAGCCCCAGCGTCGGCCAACTCCCTGGGGATAGATGCTGGCGGAATGAGAGGTAACAGTGCAAAAGGCATGATAGAAAGAAAAAAAAAGTGAGGACTTGGGGCCAGTTGTGTAGGAGCAGTCTGGGATGCCTCCATTTCTTGACACGTCCTAGCCTCTCCCTCTGTACTGTCCTAGGTCAATCGTTAGATCCCACTGTCGTGTCAAGAGAAATGGGATTTTTGTGTCTCTGGTGCTTCACTTAAAATTTTGCTGGTGCTAAGTGCGTTCCTGCTGGTGCTGCTGTGGTGTTTTGTTGACAGACCTGGAAGAGCAGGGGACAAGAGAGATTTCTATTTTGCTGTTTCAGATTTTTTTTTTTTTTAAGGGACAAGTTGCAAAAGAACTACTTGAGAGTCTCTTCTCTTTCTCTATGTGGAGACGAATATCCAGAGGTGGTTTGGAGCAAATCTTGGGGTCTAGGAGGGAGGGTGGTGTTTAGAGGCTTGCTGGTTATGAGGCGGAAAGCTGACCTCATGCATGACTTGGCTGCTGTCTCCCCTACCCCCACAAAAGTGTCCTCGGAGTTCAGCCCACAGCCTCCTCCACTCCCCAAGGGGGTTTCAGGGCTTAGGTTTTATGGATTAAAGAGCCAAGAAATGGCTACATTCTGGTCAAAGATGATTTATAACCAGGGGACGTTGGGAGAGGGAGCAGGCCATTGAAATGAAATGCACCAGCATCTCACTGATTGACAGAGGTCTGATTTTTTTCCCCCAAGGATAAGCTACTATTTTCAGAAGTTTCTAGAAGGGCTAAAAAAAAAAAAAGATGTGTGCTGGACAGAGACTTGGCTGTAAAGACTCTTCAGGGAGCAGTGATTATTTTTTGCTTTCATTTTAAAAAAATCCAACATAAGCAGGTATTCTTCCTCTGTGCAAGATACCACACACTGCCATTTTCAAAGCTGAGATGGCAAGGTGTCAGTCTGCAGATTTGGACAGTCATTCTCCAAGGCTGGATTTGCAGGTCACCACCTGGTACCTATAGACAGAGGGTCCAGCAGGCTGGTTAGCAGACACTTCTCCAGTTCTAAGAAGCCAGCAGTGGGATCCACGTTTGTTATGGTGGATGCGGCTAAAATGGGAATCATCCCCCCATACGCTTTGCTGTAAATGACCAGGTCCTTTAGAATGTACAACCTCTCAGTGCTGCTGCAAGCTGGGAGCTGGATTTCTTTCTGTCTTCTTTTTAAAATCCATTCCTTATGTTTTCCTAAATAGCCCTTTAAAAAAAAATGCAACCCTAGGGCTACTGAATGTGAGGGAAGGTTCCCACCCTGCAGCTTTGCACTCAGCAAAGCAAAAAAAGAACCCTTATTTTGGGGGGAATGTGTTTCTCCTCATCACTCGTGCCCTCCTCCCCAGTTGATATTTGTAGGGGACCCTGGCTTAGGTGGGGGCTGCAGAGAGCAGCAGGCAATATTCCCACCAAGCCACAAACTGAGAGAAGGCAAATTCATTAGAATAATACAGTCTCTGCTTCTTTTTCATCACTTTCTTAGCCAGAGACTAGGGTCTTTCCAGCTCACCCAGTTTTCTGGGGAGGGGCTTCAATCACTACACAGTTGTATCCAATCACAGTTCTCTGCTCCTTTAAGGGTGTACGTCCACCATTGTGGTGGGGGCATGCTGACCACCTAGACCCAGGAGAAGATGAAAGGTGAGAGGATCCCTTTTTCAACCCTGACTTGCCTACTGGCTTTTGATGTTTTCCCCTGGAGGATCCAAACTCCGAATGGTTGGCATTTTGGGTGATTTTGATTTCAATGAAGCCACTTTGCTGAGAGAACTGGGGCACCCATTATCTCCTAATAGAGCTTCCCAGCCAAGTCCCTTGTAGATATTCTCCTGTTTTATTAGAGACCATGTATTTATCGAATCCTGGCCTTTTCTTGCACATCATTCATTGGAGTGCACTTCTCGACTGCCCCGATTTTTGACAAGGGGTTGTTTTTAATGCTTGTTTTTATATGAGATTTGACTTCTTGATGGACATTTGTATTAGGAAATTGAAGCATGATATATATGTATATATTGTCTCCACTGTCTCTCCTGTTGCATTACTTGGATTGCATGAGATAGTGGGGTGGTTCTTGTTTTTTAAAAAATATTTCCACAGTGTGCAAAGTGCTGGCAACATCCCTCCCTCTCCCCCAACCCCCCACTTTTCTCTGGCTGCCAAGGAGTCATTGATTTTGATTAGCTTCACTGCAGAGCGTCTGTGAAGAGAGAGAGAAAGGGAGGGAGGCTTTGAAATAAATTTTAAAAAAGACCTCATATCGGGTTTCAGCAGACAGCAGTGTGTGTGCGTGTGTGCGTGCGTGTGTGTGTCTGTGTGTGTGTCCGTACAAGCAGAGGGAGGCCTCTGAGATCATCGTTTAGGTAGCTTGCTGCATAATGAGATGAAGAGACTTTTGCCTCTTCCTTTCTGAGGGTGCTGCTTGCTCTCAGAGAGTGGGGAGAACCTCAGGGACTGGAGCCCCCAGGACTTCAACACTCCGAATGAGATCCAGTCCTTTTTGGAAGCTTCTCACCCCCATCCGATCCCCCACAAACAGATACAATCTCTTCAGATTTGGAGGTCCGTTTCCTATTCTCTTTGTTATTGGTGTAGCTTGAGTCGGAAGTTTCTCTGGGGAGCCCACTAACCCCACTGGCTGCTGTCCATGGTCCTAGGCCGTGCCCATCTCCTAGAGCCCATTTCTTTGTTTTGTTTTTAATTTTCTTTTAAACCGCCTTCATTTGGATACTGGGGACTTCTTTTCCACTTCTTCTTCTTCTTCTCCTTTTTTTGAGACAGAGTCTCACTCTGTCGCCCAGGCTGGAGTGCAGTGGCACGATCTCAGCTCACTGCTACCTTTGCCTCCCAGGTTCAAGCCATTCTCCTGCCTCAGCCTCCCGAGTAGCTGGGATTACAGGCACCTGCCACCATGCCCAGCTAATTTTTTGTATTTTTAGTAGAGATGGGGGTTTCACCATATTGGCCAGGCTGGTTTTTGAACTCCTGGTCTCAAGTGATCCACCTGCCTTGGCCTCCCAAAGTGATGGGATTACAGGTGTGAGCCACTGTGCTCAGCCTCCACTTCTTATTTTGATTCTTGTCTGTTTTGATGGTGAGGGGAAAGGATGATTTAAACAATACTGTCACAGAAAAATGAAACTGTGACTGGTTTTCACAATGTATGTAGCCGATCTCCTGTTCTCCTGTTATGTTTCTGACAGTGATACAATATCGCTCTCCCTTGCTGGGGCGTTAGAGGAGTCCTCTCCCACCCACCTCCTACACAAGTATCTTTTAGGGACACTGGCTCACCATTGTGGACTTTTTGAGTGCCCACCTGGTATTACAAGTTGCATTGACCAGAACACAGATTTTGTTGTTCTGTGTCAATACCCATTTCTTTTCTGAAGGTCAGAAGTTGGTTAGGGTTTGGGGGACTGGCTAGACACTCTGCTTAGTCCCATAGGAGCTGATTGGAAGTTCCATAAGGGGAGGAAATCGATGTCAAAGTGTCACTTTTAAAGCTTAAGCTATAAATTTATTTTTCAAATTTTCATTCATTCATTCATTTAGCATCTATTTATTGAGCATCTATAATGTGCCGGGTTGTAGAATTCCATTGCAGAAGAGACTTGACTTATGGATGGTGGAGGGGCAGTCCTGCATGGAAAACAGATGATGTGAAATATCCCTTTCCAGTCTGGTTCACGATGTTTAACAGATTTGTCAGGTCACCACGGTGACCCCAAGCCTTGCTGGCAGATTGTTACATGGTATTTACTGAGAGCCCTGCTATCTGGTAAAGGCAGTTAAAAAGCCTGCAATCTCATTTCCAGCATGAACAGACTGGTCCTTGCTGCTTTACACAATAATCAAAGCTACCTTTCATGGCGTGCTCGCCACTCCCAAGCACAGGATGACGTGCTTTACACGTCTTCCCCTCTGCGATGCCTCATGCCCACTTTAGCATATAGTATTGTTACCATTCCCATTTTACAGTGGAGGAAGCTGAGGCTCAGAGAGGTTAAGCAGCTTAGCTGAAGGCCACACCACCAGCGAAGTACCTGAGCCAAGATTTGGACTCGAGTCCATGGGACCCCCAAGTTCATGAGCTGACTGCTCTGCTCCACTGGATTCCTTCATGAGGTCATTCCACGGCACTGCTAAATGGAGGGCGAGCACCAGCACCTGGCCCTGCTGACAGCCAGAAGCCTGACTTAGGTCTACTGGAAAAAGTGTCACCTCTGGGGACACTCAAGGACAGGCTGGTTGGTTTCATTGTGGATTTTATGGACTCCTGCCCTACCCCTGTGCTCCTGGTTTCTATTTAATTTGCAAATAGGGCCTGTATGACTTATTTCCTAGGACATGAGAAGCTTTTCTTACCTCCTTCCTACCCTCTTCTCCAACCTGAACTCCCGAGTTCCTTCTCCCCAAGATCTTTTGCACTATAAGCGCCAAGGAGCCTGTGCACATGGCAGGGACGGCTGGAGGGGTATCTGGAGAACCTTGGTGGGGCCTCTGGCCTAGCCAGAGAGGCAATAAGCTTGGGGACGTTCCGTTCTGGGTTCTGACACTGCTGGTTCTGACGTCGTCGTGCTCTTTTGTAAGAGGAATTTCATACCTTGGAGATGCTTTGTACATATTTGTAATGACTTTATTAAAAAATTGGTTGTGCACTTCTAGCCAAAGACATTTGCATTTTCATTTCTTTTGGGAAGGCTGGCTCTCACAGACTCTGGGAGTACCCGGCCACACAACAAGGACAGGATCCCTGCTCCGGCTCCTGCATGTGCCAACGTTCCTTCGGGCAGAAGGCCACACACTTCCTTCCCTCCTCTAACTCCTAAGAACACCCCCTCCCCCGAAGGGAAGGACTGGCCTAAAGAGTGCCCTGGGGTTGGGCAACAGCTTTGGGAAACTTACCCAACAGTTCAAGGTCAGTGCACACAACCATAATTTATGCACGGTATGCCGCAGACAAGCCAATGAACCTGCAAATCGATGTCTCCAACTGTGGACAACTTGGGGTTCTAGTCTCATCCTAAGAATGGGAGGTTGAGTACAGATTTTTTTTTTTTTCCCTGGAGGCAGAGTTTCGCTCTCATTGCTCAGGCTGGATTGCAGTGGTACGATACTGGCTCACTGGAACCTCTGCCTCTTTGGTGCAAGCAATTCTCCTGGCTCAGCCTCCTGAGTAGCTGGGATTATAGGCGTGTGCCATCATGCCCAGTTGGTGTTTGCATTATTAGTAGAGACAGGATTTCACCATGTTGGCCAGGGTGGTCTCGAACTCCTAACCTTAGGTGATCCACTCGCCTTGGGCTCTCAAAGTGTTGGGATTACAGGTGTGAGCCTCTGGGCCCTGCCAAGGTTGCTTTTTTAGATACCAAACCTTCTTTTTTCCTTTGGACACCCAGCCCTGCCCCACTTTCAGTCCATGTGACTTAGAGGGCTGAATCCAGCCTCTCACTACCTCAAGAGCTCAACAGCTGACCCAGGCCTGGCCGGTGCTCCACATCTCACCGGCCATTGGTTTGGGGGCAAACAAATGAGAGTGAGTGGTGGGACTCTGGGTGGAGCTTTTGGGATGCAGACGTTCTCTTTGCTGGGGTTGTTAAGCTGTTAGATATAAGCACAGAACAGCTGCCAGTTACCACCACATGGGTCCAATTGCCTGAAAAACTGTCTCAGAGGAAAACAGAATTGAGGGATGGAGGGCACAATTTTTTTTTTTTTCAGAGATGGGGTCTCACTCTGTCACCCAGGC